TAATTTATAGGCTTGGAAAGTATGAAGACAGTTCCTCCATCTGGAGTGATCTCAGTGCTGTGCTTGCTTCCACCCCCGCCTGGATATGATCTGGGAAGTCTCCAGAGGGCGAGAACCTGCTTAGCCTATAGAATACAAAGATGGGTGAGATCAGCAGAGACACCTGAAGCACAAAGCAGAGGCACAAAGGAGGAAAATGGCCACTATGAAGACATCTCTCAGACAGTGGACACATTTTCAATACAGACTCAGCAGTACATACCAAAGGAAAGTGTCTACAAATTCATCTCTGGCTTTCACTCCCCAGGGCCTGCTTGGGTGGGTGGGTGGGTGGGCTGGTTGTGGTGTGTGTGTGTGTGTGTGTGTGTGCTCTATTGCTTTCCTCATTTGTTCTAGTGTATGTGCCACCCGTTTTTGCTTTGTTTAGATTTATTTGTATGAATGTTTTGCTGAATGCATGTCCATCCCATGTGTGACTGGTGCCTGCAGAAATTAGAAGAAAGCCTCAGATCTCATGGAACTGGATTTAGAGATGGCCATGAGCCTACATGTGGGTTCTGGGAAGCAAACCACAGACTTCTGGAAGAGCAACACACGCTCAGCCATTGAGCTGTCTCTTCAGCTTTTGCCTGGTTGTTCCCTAGCTCTAAAAGCCCATCTGTATACCTTTGTGTCAAGTGCTTTTTCAGACTCATTTCCCCACAGCCTCATTTCACTTTATTTTTTAGCAACAGGATTTTTCACTAAATCTAGAGATCAAATGATTAGACTGGCCACTAAGCCCCAAGGATTCTCTTTTCTCTGCCCCTCTGTGCCAGGATCATAGCTATGTAACACCATGCCTGCCCCATTTATGTAGGTTCTGGGGATCCAAAACCAAGCCTTGGATGCTCGTGCAGCAAGTCCTTTTCCCCACTCAGTTATCTTCCCAGCTCTCTTTAGAGACATAATCCAATTTTGTATTGTTTGCTCCTTTGTTAGCACAATGGGTTTCATAGTAACATTTTCATTCATATGTCATGCTTTCTCATCCCCCCTCCCCCTTCTTTCTGGTCCCTCTTTCACCCACTTCTCCTTTCTTAAGTTTTGCTATTGAAATCATGCCACTTGTGACATTTTATTATGAAACACCAAATAGACTTAGTACTGCCACTTACATCTGACTTGCTCCGAATCATCTTCCAAATCTGAACTTCCCCTAAGGTACATCATTTTGTAGTGTTGAAACCAAAAATTTTGGGTGTTACTTTCTTATTCCCCACTTTCCATATTATCTCAGCAAATCCCATCCATTTTTCTTTCAAAATAAACACAGAATGAAACCAGTCTTCATTTCTTTTACTTAGATCTAGTCCAGGACCACTCTACTATTATTTTTGGAAACATGTAACACGTATTTCAGGCTAACTTCAAACTATGAGGTAGTCAAGTGTTGCTTACTTCTTTCTTGCCTCCACCTTCCAGGTATTGGGATTACAGACATGAGCTACCACATATTTGGTTTATGTGGTGATGGGGCTCGAACCTGCTAGATGGGAGGGGAAAAAACAAACAAACTTTTGCCCCCGCCACACGCAGGCTGCTGACCAGAATTTGATAATTCAAAACAGCTGACCCTACCTTTCCCCTTCCTTCCATTTCCTCTGTGCCTTGTTTTAAAACCGGATACTTGTCAGTCAGAAGCCATGAGGTCTAACCCCAGCCAATGGGGAAAACACACAATCACCAAATTAAAAACTACGTGAACAGCCTCCTTGAATGTGCTTGTTAGCCCCTTTGGGTTCTGGCACACCCTTTTCTTTCTTTCTTTCGATTTATTTATTTATTATGTATACAGGGTTCCATCTGCATCTATGACTGCATGCCAGAAGAGGGCACCAGATCTCATTACAGATGGTTGTGAGCCACCATGTGGTTGCTGGGAATTGAACTCAGGACCCCTAGAAGAGGAGTCAGTCAGTGCTCTTAACCTCTGAGCCATCTCTCCAGCCCCCTTGGGGCACCATTTTCAAAAAGAAATGCCTTGCTGAGTTATTGTTCGTGTCATCTTTGGTGAGGTACCAAGATTATTCTTTGGTTTCTGGTATAGGCAAAAAGTGAGCCACACACCCCCATTCAGGGCCACTCCATTTAGAATGACACTGGACCATTTTATTTCCCTTAAAACAATGTGTATTTCCTACCTCTGTTGTTTAGAATTTAATTTTCAGAAACCAGGTGTGGTGGAACACGGCTGTGATCCCAGCTGAAGGGAGGCTGAGGGAACCATCAGGTGTGTTCACTGTCCTACCTTAGCGATCTAAGCAGTGGCCTCAACAAAAACCAGAGCGAAGGCAGGGCGC